GTCTCTAAAGCGTAGCCCCAAAAGGACTTCGGAAGATCTGTCTGACTCATCATTGACCAAACCATGTCTAACAGTGTTCGGTTCCTCCGTTCAGACACGCCGTTCCACTGTGGCGTTCCAGGAGGAGTACTTAATTGTGATACAATACCACAATCAACCAGATAGTCAGTGAACTCTCGGCTCATATACTCGCCACCACGATCGGATCGAAGTGTCTTGATCGTCTTGCCAAGCTGGTTCTGTACTTCGTTTCTGAAAGCCTTGAACATTTCAAGTGTTTCAGACTTATATCTCATCAAATAGACATAACCGCATCTACTGAAATCATCAGTGAACGTAACGAAATATAGATAACCTCCTCTACCTGGACAGCTCATTAGTATGCATACATCACTATGTATCAGATCCAATAACTCTGTCACTCTTTGTCCTTTCCCCTTGAAAGGATGTTTTGTCATCTTGCCCATCAAACAAGATTCGCAAGATTCAAGAGACTCAAAGTCAAATGAATCTAGAAGACCTTCAAAATGAAGCTTCTGAATGCGCTTCTCATTTATTTGGCCTAGACGACAATGCCAGAGGAAGGTTGGGTTTAAGTCGTTCGGCTTAAACCTTTTAGTACTCACGCTATAGATGGATGATTTCGAGTTCGAAGGCTGATCATTCAAGACGTATAAACCATTAACTAGATAACCATTACCATAGTAAATATCGTCTCGATAAATCATCAAACTCGAGTTCTCAATCACAAATCGAAAACCATCCAAATCCAGACATGAAATAGAAATAATGTTTCTCCTAATCGTAGGAACATAGTAACAATTACTAAGCTCTAAAACAAGTCCAGAAGGAAGATCCAAATCGTAAACGCCAACACACAATGCAGCAACTCTTGCTCCATTTTCGACGCGTAGTTCCGCTTCTCTCTTAGCTAGCATCCTACTTCTTCTTAGTCCCTGCACATTTCCACAAATGTGTGAGGCACTTCCGATATCCAATACCCACGAAGATATAGTACAGATGTTAGCTTCTATAACATGAATACCTGAGGCAGAAGCTTCACCAAGCTTCTTTCCTTCAGATCCTCCAAGTAAAGGTGACAATTACGCTTCCAGTGTCCAGACACTCCGCAGTAATGACAGTCACCTTTATCGGGCTTAGGCTTGGGCGTAGAGGCAACTTTTGCCTTCTTTTTGGCTTTACCCCGCCGCTTCTTGCTGGAGTTATTCTCAACAGCAAGCACAGTCTTGGGCACCACGATATCCTGCTCGACCGATTTCAACATCCCATGCAGTTCGGCTAAGCTCTTAGTCATCCCGTGCATATGGTACTGCATCACGAACTGGTTATAGTCCTCGGGTAATGACATCAGGATCAAGTCTGTAACCAAGTCACCATCGAGGTTCACTCCCATACGTTCAAGTTCTTCAACATGAGCTCTCATGTTGAGGACGTGGGTGTTGACAGAACTGCCTCTCGGCATATCCGTCTTCACTAGAGCTTTTAGCGTCTTGTACTTTTCAGTACGCGCTAGCTCCTCAAACATGATTTTGAGCTGATTGATCATATCAAACACGCTCTTCCCCTCAAACTGCCTCTGCAGATTCGGGGCCATGCTTCCCAACATGAGACAGGAGATCTCATTGTCGTCAGTCTGATGCTTCTGCCAAACATCCTTGACGGCTCTCGTGGCATTGGCCGCAGGCTCTGGTGGTATAGCCCCTTCTAGGACGTATGACTTCTTATCGTGCTTGAGAACTATTCTCAAGTTACGATACCAGTCTAAGAAGTTCGTCCCAGTCAATTTATCCTTCTCAAGGATAGACCGCATCGTCAAACTCGGTACGCTACCGGTTGACGCCATGTCCTACAAAAGAGACAAAACAGAACGAACAAAATAAATGCAGATTCTATTAATGATCTACTACCAGCTAGTAGGGCTGGGCACGGGCGGGTACCCGGACATTTTAAGGCATCTCTATCTCGATCTCAGTCTTGTCGGGTTTTTGAATACATTATCTCGGTCTCTATCTCATAAGATCCGGGTACCCGAGATCCGGGTACCCGAGACACGAGATCGGGTATCCGCGGGACCCGAACCCGTGCTCGCCTTTCGAAACCTGTGCATCATTATAAGACCAAATCTAACTATGAACCTAAAACCTTTACAATATTATTATCCAGAATACATCCATAATTCTTAAACATATTATCATCCAAACAACTGTACATCAACAACATCCGAAACATAAAATCCATAAATTCAACATACAAAAATAAAATCCATAAATTCAATACTTCTGTATTTGAGTTATCTGCCATGGAAGACATATCTGCAAAACAAACAACTTCATTAGTAAAAACAAGAGAGAACTCGGTCGAACAGAGAGCTCATGAACCTGTATTGATTGATAAAGTATATGAGCAGAGAACTCGGTCAAACAGAGAGTTGGATGAACCTGTATTGACTGATGAAGTACCTTAACAGAGAACTCGGTCGAAAAAAAGGTCGAACAGAGAGGTTCCAACTGGGATGGAGACGGAGACATTGAACCGAGGAGAGAAAGAGAGCCGCGAAGATGGAGACAAACGAACCTGCAACAAGGAGTACACTTAAATCAGTAGAGCAAAGGCGGCAAAGACAGAAGCTCAGGCGACGAGGGAGAAGCTCTTACCGAGGGAGAGAAAGAAAACGGCGACGGCGAAGACAGGCGGAGCAAGGAAGAGACGATGGAGACGGAGACGGTCGAACCGTGGGAGAGAAAGAGAGCACCGACGATGGAGAAAAAGGAGGCGGACGAACAGAGTGCTTCCAACTCGGTCGAACAAAGAGATTCGCGACGAGGGAGAAGACGGAAGCACAAGGCGACGAGGGAGAAGACGGAAGCACAAGGCGACGAGGGAGAGGCTTTTACCGAGAGAGAGGAGGCGGACGAACAGAGAGCACGGCAACGATGGAGGCTGAAGCTCAGGCGACGACGGACGGAAAGAGAATAGGAGGAGCTCAATTTCAGGCGACGGTCGACAGTGTGAGAGAGACCGAGAGAGGAGGCGCAGAAAAGCCAAATCGAGGAGAGAGACAAGAGTGTTAGATAATTAGGGTTAGGGTTAGGTTTAGAAATGGCAGTTTTGTAAATATATTAAAAATAAGGGGTATTTTTGTAATGTTCATATTTTCCGGGTACCCGTGAGATAACCCGTGTAGATATATCAAAACCCGAACCCGAAACCCGGAACTCGGGTTTCATGAGATAAAAACCCGGCCTCTATCTCGTTGTCTCATCAAACCATACACTTCAGTACTCGTGAGACCGGGTACCCGGAAACCCGCGGGTCTCGGGTAAAAATACCCACCCTTTTTGTAATGTTCATATTTTCCGGGTACCCGTGAGATAACCCGTGTAGATATATCAAAACCCGAACCCGAAACCCGGAACTCGGGTTTCATGAGATAAAAACCCGGCCTCTATCTCGTTGTCTCATCAAACCATACACTTCAGTACTCGTGAGACCGGGTACCCGGAAACCCGCGGGTCTCGGGTAAAAATACCCACCCCTACCAGCTAGTCCATCATCAATCAGTGTCAATCTATCTGTGATCCACTACCAGCTAGTCCATCATCAAATAATGACAATATAGATGCAAAGATGAGCTATATTCCCATAAAGAAAACTAACCCTACAATAATTTTCTATATGGGACTAAGATCCGTATTTCACATAAGAACAAGTTTTTACACTCAGCCTTATGCTATTTAGGTAGGCATCTAATGTCAATCACATCCAATGTGATTCTTAGATCCTTTATGAGACTTATGATATCAAATATCATTGCATACACGTCTCATCTGTACCATTAAGTTTCAAGTCAAAACTTGACAATTTAACCCAAGATATATTCAAGCTGTAGGAACCACGATTTCCTACCCTGCCTCACAAAGGTAATCCGGCACGCTCAGCTTTGGCATGACCCGCGTTACGGACGATCGATGCCTTGACAGGCGCTCTAGTAATGGGAGGTACTCACTTAGCATTACATAAATAAGGGATTTTCGAAACCGCACCTAGATCAAGCATCTACTTTCAAGCTATGAGAACCACCATTTCTCCATCTTGCCTCACCAAGATAATACGGTACACCCAGCTTTGGCATGGCCCATGACACGTACGATCGAGGCCTTGACAAGTGCTTTACTTATAGAGCTTCTAGATCTATCCGGTTTCTGTGCAACGATTGTTCATAATCCGAATAGACCATCCATTCGATTATGTAATCCCAATCCCGGAGCTCCCACTCAATCAAGCATATCTAATATCTCGATTAAGTTACATGCATTCATTCACTATGAACCATCCATAAGAATAAATCATGTCTATTTGAGTCACAGTTGATCAGATTAAGCAACGATTGCACAATCGGATCAGAAAACGAAAAATCACGGAGTCTGGGTCTCGGACCATCCGTTCTGGATGTAGAACGGACGGTCTTCGTATGAGAACGGACGGATCACGTGTTTCTGCAGACCGGACGGTCCAGACACTCTGGAACGAACGGTCCACTGTCTCAGAACGGACGGTCCAGACCTTTCGGTCTATCCTCAGTCCGTCACCCCTGGTCCGTCCAGTCTGGTAAACAAGAACGGACGGTCTAGGGTTTGGTCACGTGATCAGATCACGTTTTTCGCGTTCTCGGCCCCGTTCAGACCCGAAACCGATCCGATCTGAATTCGGCTGTTGACCCAAAATTCGAACTCCTGCACTCTATACAACATGAAACATGCAATCTACACTAGATTCAATAATCAAACATGCATAGATATCATAGCAAACATGGATTCAAACAATTCAAATCCTAAAACATGCGTGATCGGGTTATACGAAATCAAAACAGAGCAACCAGGCTCTGATACCACTGTTGGATTTTCCTGGGATCTCATGAGCGAATCCTATTCCTAAGAGATCGATTCTAGGGTTTGCGCAGCGGATATAAAAGCAAACATGGATTCAAACGATTCAAATCCTAAAACATGCGTGATCGGGTTCTATGAAATCAAAACAGAGCAACCAGGCTCTGATACCACTCTTGGGTTTTCCTGGGATCTCATGAGCGAATCTAATTCCTAAGTGATCGATTCTAGGGTTTGCGCAGCGGATATAAAACAAAATTTTTAATGAAACCCTAGAACCATGCTACTATTGAATCATAGAAACGTTAGAACGCTTACCTCAATCGATCCGGGGCCTGTATCAATTGATCTGCTCGTCCGATCACTCTAGGCAGGAAGAATACCTCGCCCTCTACACGTATCCACACGTCGGGATGGATTCCAACACCTTGGAACTTGTCTGCTAGGACTAGAGATCTCGATCTCTCTTGTGTGCAAGGTTTTTGGAGGCTTAGGGTTTTATTTTTCTTCTTTTTTCTTTCTTCTTTTTTTTTCTTCTTCTTTTTTCCCTTTAAAACCCTAGAAGACAAAGATAATCCGGCACGCTCATCTTTGGCATGACCCATGTTACGGACGATCGATGCCTTGACAAGCGCTCTAGTAATGGGAGGTACACACTTAGCATTACATGAATAAAGGATTTTCAAAACCGCACCTAGATCAAGCATCTACTTTCAAGCTATGAGAACCACCATTTCTCCATCTTGCCTCACCAAGATAATACGGCACACCCAGCTTTGGCATGGCCCATGACACGTACGATCGAGGCCTTGACAAGTGCTTTACTTATAGAGCTTCTAGATCTAATCGGTTTCTGTGCAACGATTGTTCATAATCCGAATAGACCATCCATTCGATTATGTAATCCCAATCTCGGAGCTCCCACTCAATTAAGCATATACTATATCTTGATTAAGTTACATGTATTCATTCACTATGGACCATCCATAAGAACAAATCATGTCTATTT